CAGTATATATCATCATTATCATGTGCTTACTCCAGATCAGGTAAGTTACCACCTGGATGCATATCCTCACAAGGGCAGTGCTGTTTACATAATCATATCTGCTAAAATATTTAGCAGAAAAGAGGGAAGATGATAACTTGATCAACACCGCTTTCCTTGGTGCATTCGTATGAGAAAGAGATTTAAGCTCGAACGACGCTTCGGAAATTAGCATAGAGGGATCGGCACATACAGTGCGATCGTGTGAGTCAAAGGCGGTTTATGACTCGATTAAAACAGAGATGTGAGGTCTCCAGAATGAATATCACCATACTAGAATTTGGCGAACTGCTACAGAGTGATGTCGATACAATCCGGAGCAAGTCTAAAAATAGCCTGGTTCTCACGCATGCATCGCTCATGTGCGATAGACAACGAACGGTGCACAAACCCGTGATAGGATTTAACAAAAGGACCTATCTTTCTTGAAAGTTGTAGAATCGATTATTCAGTTGGAACCTTCTCACTTCCCACAATAAACTCATCAATCGGGCGGGCAACCTAACCGGGCCTTGGAACATACACCTTTTCTTGGTAATCATCAATTAAGAAGTGCTCGTATGAACTGGAGGTAGGTGCAGACTCAAAGAAGGGCTTAGCAAATACAATGTTAATGGACGCTAGCCAACCCGTACCCAAAATAATTCCACCCGTGGTTCTAGACCGCGTTGCTAAATTTTTATCAGTGTGCTGTTAGACTACACTGCTAACTTGCTTTGGCCTACTTCCTGAGAGCCCATCCAGGATTAGACGTGATCTCGACCACCTAATTATATTTCGTGATCCATCACTCCGCGCGGTCATTTTCCAAGTTCTCAATAAGTTGGCGTCTAGGACATGTAGGCTGAATCAAATTGAGCGTTCACAGAACTGCGAGCGTCCAGCCGAACAACAGAGGTCGAGATCCGCCGCAGTTAGTCATCCTCAACACCATCGTGCACAGAACTACGCTAACCGCTGGCAAGCTCACTACGTAGACAAAGTGAAAGAATGAAAATGTATAAGATGTACAGGAATTGGGCCTAATTGCAGAGGTAACGAAAGTGCACTTTTATGCTCAACACACTGAATGCACAACCTAACTGCATACGCGCTTTTTCAAGCATTTTGTCCTGGCAAGGCCATGGTCGATTAGTTGCCATATTCCTGTCCCTAATCAACCAGTTGCAGTCTTTTGGACCCTAATCTGGAAGTCTGATCTAGAGTATGCAGACGACATTGTGTCAATCATTGAAGATCCAGCTAAATCGCAAGCTTTTCTGGATAGCTTTAGTGCTACTGTAGCCAGGTTCGGTATGTATTTTTCACCTTCAAAGTGTAAAATGTTGCTTCAAGATTGGGTTGGTTCAGCCCTAAACCTCACCCTGACCGAAAAAGTAGACAAGCTTGCTATCTGCGCAGCTGTACTTCACCTGGCGGATGCATCAAATATGAAGTGACGGCGCGCATACAAAAGGCTCGGTTGGCATTTGCCAACTCGAGACAAATGTGGCGCCGTCGCGACATCCGGCTGCCTGTCAAGGGTCGAGTGTATAGTGTAGCAGTTCGGCCAGTGCTGCTATACGGTGTAGAGACTTGGCCACTACGGGAACAGGATCACAATCGACTTTCGTGCTCGAACACCGCATTCTACGACGCATTGCACGAATCTGGTGTGGCAGTAAAATGAGCAATGCTGAGGTTAGGTGCAGTTTTAGGCAATCGCGGTCGCCCACTGAAGCAAGTGGTCGACCTCTTTAGATTACGCTAGTTGGAGCATGTGTTACGCATGTCACCAGATAGGTTACCACGGAGAGCGCTATTCGCCGAGGCAGGTAGCGGGTGGAAGAAAGTCAAGAGTGGTCAAGCTAAGACTTAGAATGAGGATATGAAAACTAACCAGGAGTCTGGGTCACGTAGGTCCCGTTAGGCTTCCTGGATAGGGACCTCGAGATGACCACACCCGATGTTTAGAGACACTGAGTGATCTGGCTGGGTGTCGTAAACAGTGGCGTTCGTGCATCTTGTCGATTTCTCTGCAAAATTAGCGCAGTGAAATCCTGAATTTTCTCTTCGACCCTACTTGCAACCTTTTCTGTCTTTCTCTTTAGGTTCACTCAAATGGGCAGTCGAAAACAACAACCAAAATCGGCACTCGAAAGTGCATGGTTAATGGTTGTAGAAACTAAAACTGAAATGAGGCCACACCGAACGTGATAAGATCAGTGCCGTCGGTGTGGCTTCGTAACTCAGCAGGGAGTGTGTTGTACAAAAGCGTATGCGGAATGCATACGCGGGGTTCGACTTACACCGAGGCTATTGAACTTATCACAATCTTGACAGAAATCTAAGTTGTTTGGTAACGGATTCTCTGCTGAAACAATGGCATTTATTTGACGGTGTTGCTTTCGATTATGCAAAAATTTAAATTCAACCGTACAACAGAACTGGTCATACAGCGGCGCAGTATGGGTGACCTATCAGTTTCATGGAGACAGCACACAGACACCCAAGTCTCGGTCCTCTGTAAGCCACTCCCGTCCGGAAAATGACGGCTACTCACTTTAAGTAAAAACCTATGTAGAAGCAATCCGCTTCAGTTCTTAACCGCTAAGCATCGGAACTGGAGTAGGGCATAATGTCTGGGCACTCCGAAGGTACAGAGCACACAAAACATGAAGTTTTAGAAATTGAGAGTCCGTAAGGAACGCTCTGCTCATCTTACATATAACCATACAGATAGATGACATGATCAGCTTAAATTAAAACACAGGTTGTCCATTCACTGTCGAAGTTACGGAGACCGCATAGTGCGTTCTCCAGTTTTTCGTCTGATGAAACTAGGGTACGGGAAAATAGGACACCCTCGACGAGCACCACCCTCTGGAGCTGCATAGCTCTCACGCTACCAAGTGTATGCGAGTATAATGATTCCAACAGGCATACATGCCTCTGTATCATTATCGTGCAAAGCAGCCAACCCGCTAGAGCCTTGCAGTTCACCGTCGTTCTGATTAACCTTCGAACAGCTTTCTCGAACTGAGTGCCCCTTCAAACGAAACTGGGTGCCTGTAATCAAATCGTAGAAAAACGAAATATGACCACAGACCAAGAGACGAAGCTCAGTAATAGCAGGAAGCGCTGTGGATTACTCGCACTTGGAAACTAGAGATAACCAAACGTTACTTCATAGAACACGTGTTACAGGCAGCAGCTTGGGCGGATATAATCTGCAAGAACTATTTAAGTTAATGAAACCGAGACTCGGAACCCGGGCAATTGGAAAGGCGAACTAATCTAAGCCTCACGAGATTAGACATTTTTATTCTTGCAAACTTTGATGTAATGAATAGCAGGCAGGATGGACAATATAGTCACGAGGACCTGTTGTCTAGTCATGGAAACCGGGGACCGGTGAACCGCATAAGGCACCGCTAGGTAAGTTATGGTACTGACCCGTCGGACTCTACAGCTACGAGCGGACGCCCCGCACTTTGGTATCCATAATCAAGACACACTGTATTTTCCCCGTTTCCTACAGGGCTCGTGGCTTTTCGGTTTTATCAACAAACGCAACACCTACGTCGACGGTTTTTCATGTACCGCACAAAAGCTCGAGTACATCCTTGGCGCCGGAGGGCTTTTCATTTCCACCCGCACATATTGCAAAGCTCAGTTCAGCACCACCCCGAATACCATGCTCCCGTATTATTAGTTCTCTACCTTCGATTCATATTTCACACCGGACGCCTCGCCGCAGGGAACCACCTAATGTATCACGCTTGCAACTCGCACTAGCGGCGTTCTTGTTGTCATTTTTTATCAGGCCAGAACGGTATGTATGCAGAGTTCGATAGTGTACTTGGTGTGTTGATCACAGAGGTTCACCTTTTTTCTCCCTCAAAATAGATCCACTCTCTGACCACTCCAATTATTACCACTAACCTTGCCAGTTTGGTAGAGTTCAGTGAGGTTAGCCTCACTGCAATTCGCTGTATGATGATGATTGCAAGTAATCACTGCGCGGTTACCCATTTCATCACTGATGCATTGGACTTCGTTCGATTACAACCATTCATCACTCATTTCTACGGTACCCTGCGAACGGGAAGTACCACCTCCAATGCTCAGTAGCACTCGCTGATATACCCTTCGTTCGATGTGATCAAGTTACACCCAATTACTGTCTTCGACAAGCAGTACATATGCAGGATCACGGGGTTTGTCATGGAACTAGCGACAATCATCAGGTGAGTCGAGAAATATACGAGTTAAAACAATGCTCAACCTGTGGATGGCGAAACATGACGCGGACACTCGACCCCGACACCTGACAAGCGATAGGTGGTCTTTAACTACCATGAATGCCAGGCTGATACATGACTGGTGGCGGAAACAGAAACATCACACAAGAACGAAGGACCGTAAAGACAGTTTTCCATTTGCGGCAACCGTGCGGTCATGAAACCAGTTTTCATAATTTGGTCAATTGACTTCGGAGAACCCCACGTCGTACTAACGAAACAACTAAACTCTGAATGAACAGCACTGTCTTCAAGATAATTTTATGCATCTTTAATGTTAGGGTGACAAACTGGAGAGTTGGGTAGCAATACCAAACCGAACTGGTGCCGAACGGAAACACAAATGGCGTAGTCCGGTCGACGGTGTGACATTTTATAAAGCTTTTAGATGATCAGAAGAGGTAAGTGAAATCAACAAGGATGAAAAAATTATCGTGTACAGTAGAACAGTCTGACAAAAGCACGCGATTAAGTAAGTGAGGTTAGTAAAAACAAGGCACAATCTTGGTTGCATCAGGAATGGCAAAAAAAGATTGCAGCCCGAAATAAACCAAGTGTCGGGGGAAAGGGACAATGTACAATGAGGAGTGGTCAATCTACAGATACTAACCGATAGCCAGATGATACTGATAATAAGAATAGTTATGGTAAATTGTAAATGTGGTACATCGTTTGAAACTATCGAGGTCGTGTTGAACCACGTCCACGACTGTAATTACTTCTCAATGCACCAGTACTGTTTCCGCGCGCGTTCCGGACACCAAGGGGTTTGGGTTTTGGTTCAGCTGCAGTGCTCGTAATGCCAGTATTGGAAGAGCCCTTAGAATTAGTCTGGTGCGTTTTATTTTGGTCGTGATCTTCATTTTCCTTTTGGGATACTGCCGCGGGCCGAGGTTGAGAACCGCGAGCAGGATTACGCTGGCTCCATATAAATGGGCGTCGCACAGCCGCTCCGGCTCCGTTTCCTCGAGCTAACCTGGGACGACCTTGCGTATGGACCCGTTTCTGGAAGTCGGAAGAGCGCTGTTTCGATGGACAAACAGCCTGGCAATTTCCATTTGGTTCATCCTGACCGTTATCAGTGAGGGGAGAACTGACATCCTCATCAACAAAGCTGACGAGTGAAGGGTAGTCTATGGCGCTGTAGGTGAATGGGTAATACGGGATGTTTGTTCCGTTCAACCACGCCTGACGATTTGGATATATGGCCAGTGGCACCGCCATATATAATCCACTGTTATATGCGTTCAAAAGAACGTCAAGCATACCACTACTTGAATACGGCGGTGGGTAAGGCTCGCCGAAAGCTACTGACGCTCTGCAGCAAGTTTCCATGCGTACAGCAAACGCGTGAATACGACCGCTACTGAAATAAGTGCGTAACACGTGGATATCGGGCACATCANCTAACGTGTATGGCTTGAAACGGTGTCCGCATGTACTTTGCTCTGAAAAGTAAAACAGAAAATAATCAAATAACTTGGGTTTCCATACGGAAAAAAACACAAGTGAAAGCACTCATAGCTTACGAAGTACAACTGATGCAGGCTAATTCTGTAAAAAGCGGGGAAACTGCACCGAAGCTCGCCACGTTTACACTTGATTAACCTGAATCCAATCACTCAGCGCACACAGAACCAGTTATTCCTGATTCACCTTCGAGGTGCAGCAAAACTGGAAGTTCGTGTTTGCGTTAAGACACCAGAAGGCTTTTTCACACACAAAAGAAGTGGTTGCTGAAGGCAAAGATTCGTTTATTGATTTAACTACCACAGAAATCCGTGTGTAACTGGGCTACTGGACTAAAGAGATCAAAAAGCACGTGGTTAATCCTTGCCTCAGTGTATGACCGCAAGAATAGTGCTGGTACGCACGAAAACAAGTTCTGCTACTCACAGAACTCCTATTGGGTCATAGACTTCGCATAACGCTGGGTGGTTTCGTAAACCTTTTAGTGGACTGTGTTGGAAATCGGGACCAATATGCCTAATCAGATTAAGTTCTCGAAAAGTGCCGTGTGGCATTCACGTAAGAAAACTCATCTCGAGTGTAGAGTTGATGAGATTCGTGAGCTTAATTCATCATCATCATCACCATCATTGTACAGCGTAATGCAGCGAAGCGAACTTCACTGATTGCTGCCAAAATCATATCGCATACAAGGTAAGTAATAATGTGTAACGAAGACAGGGATGGGACGGGAAAAGCCAACCTCTACGGTCAATACAGAGTACACAGTCCAGCTGTGCATACATACATTTCCAAACATTCTGTTCTGATAAGAAGTGACAGCATGATCGCCATCGCTGTCGGTTGGCAGTCATGACCTTCAGTCTCCAACTATG